GCCTGGGCGTGCACAAATTGACACAAGTTTATCCGGATTTAGACAGAGCATAAGATTAAGACTTAGAGTGGAGCAGCAAGACTAGGAGCGGTTTTACACTTTAAGCAGATAGACTTCCATGTCCGAGGATTTTGTGGTTGATAATTTAGGTATAAGGCAGTTTTAGGGTAGTCTAACAGCAGAGATTTAAATCGTGGTAAAGTGAGAGGTGGCGAGAACACAACGGCTGGAATCTGAGCCTAAGTGAGAGACTGGTGTCTGAGTTCTGCAGGAAGAATGTTCCAAACTCTTGCTGTTCTATTCGTGAACCACCCTTGGAATGTTACTGTTTTGCATTTTCTAATCCTGAACGTAATGATGTCAAAATTGCTCGTAGCTCGCGTTGTTCTTGTGTTTCCATGCTTCCCTTCGGGGATTATCTCCTCACTGACGCACACAAACACGTTAACCGTGCTGAAGAAAAACGTCAAGTCTAAATATTCATGCCAGAAACTAATAATTGGTACTAAATCGGTAGCTTGTAGTCGACCCTCGTAGGTTAGTTCGTAGTGGAATGGAAGGTTTAGTAACTGGACGATAGTTCTCAACATGATCTTTGTTATCTTTCTTGTGTATTGGCACAATATTTGCCGGTTTCCACTCGTCTGGAAATACGCCTGTCTCGAGTGACTTGTTGTAGAGTAAAGTTAAAGAGGGTGCGATCTGTTCAGATCTTTCTTTTAGTAGCCTTGCCGAGATCTCATCAGGTCCAGTTGCTTTGCTGACGTCAAGTGAACAAAGTGCAGCGGCAACCTCGCAGGGTGAGAGGGATATATCTTGAAGGACTGGACAGCTAATAGGAGGTAATTGGGGGCGAGGTTCTTCTGTGTCGCCAGAAAATACCGATGCAAAATGTTGGTTGAAGGCTTCCGCGATGTCAACAGAACTAGAGACTACTTTCCGAACAGATGTGACACCCGTGGCCGTGTTTTTGCTGCTAGATGGTACAGACATTTGCTCAGGAACGCTGCTTGCTTTATTGCAAAGTTTAAAAACGGACCAAAATCGTTTTGGGTTTGCTTTAATGTCCTGTTCTAACTTCTAATGATTCGAAGACTCTTGTCCGACTGTCGCTAATCATACGTTTCCCCTAAAACTTTAATGAGGGTGTAATAAATTGAACTATACTCGAATAATTGAACTCAACTCGTTTTTAAATCATAAATAAACTTTTAAAAATTATATATCACTTCTTAACTCGCTCTACTCAGAACTTCCACTCAAGACATTAATATTCCATGTGCTCGCAGAATTGCGTGACACACGCGTGGTGTCCACGTAATAATTACGTCATTAATTATAACATACTCCCCACCTTGACTGGTGAGAACCATTCAACGATATAAATAAGTAATTAAATCTAATCAGTTTTCCTTAAGTCCATGCTTAACAAACGTAATTGGAAAGTTTTCAGGATGTTCCTGTTCCAATTTAAGTTCTAAAGGATACAACTTTTGAATAGGCCGATCCAACGTAGTCACCTTTCCGTCTTTACCGATAGTACGCACCACGACTGCTCGAGTATTTCCATCGCGACCCGTTAACAACTTTTCGATCTGTCCAATATTCCAGTTTAAACGTTTCACGTTGTCTTCTGCAATGACAACAACATCACCTTTGTTAACACTTGGACCCTTCGCTTCGCGAGGACGATGATATTCACGCAATTGAGTTAAGTATTCTTGTTTCCACCTTTTCCAGAAGTGCGTTAAAACAGTTTTTAAATGTCTTTCGCGTCGTGTTGCTCTTTCTGCGGTGTCAACTTCGTCTGATATACCTGAACTTACGCTCTTCGCTGGAGTAAGTACTCTTCTTCCTAGTACAAGGTGCGAAGGGGTTAACGGTTCATCGTTGTCTTCATACAAGTAAGTG